AAAAGCAGTTTCATTGCCTGTCTGACATCTTAGCACCGCTGAACAATAAATAGGTGTGAATATTTTTAGGCATGTTGTCGAAACAAATGAATAGGATTAAGAACAATGCTGTTTTGGAACAGCTGGTTGAAACAATGAAGTCAGTCACGGTCTTGTTGAATTGGGGGTGCGGTTAGTAATAGGTACTTTTCAAGTTTTCAATTTTTGTTAAGAACTCTTTAACCCAGAAGCCGGAATTGGGGGTGCGGTTACTATTATGTATGCGGTTTATATTAGGACTTTAACGGTATATGTCTAATGGTTTTAAAAGTTGAAAATGTTGATGATGAAAGACAATCATTAACACCTTAACTTAAACAATGAAGTTAAAAATGATATTTCACTCATGCAAAGTAAAAAGAAAGATGATTGGAGCCATCTTTTGGCAAACATTGACAAATTGAGAAAACCATAATCATTAAATTTTGCCAATGAAATTATTCTACTTACTTAATTCCTGGAACTTCACATGATTTTGGCCTGGTTTGTGATTGCTGTGAATTACATCAACACACTTGTTAACATGTATTGAATTTACAGCATTTAAATTTCCAGTGACGGCGACAACATAGTGCAGACACACACAGACCGCCCAAGTGCAGACAGCAGTAACAACTAATGGCAGTTTACAAGAATTTCTTTTCAGTTCAGGGAATAACGGAGTAATAATGCAAATCAGTTCATTAAAGCTGGTCTTGTACACTTTTGACACAGGGTATCCCGAAGGTTTAAAAGTTGATCATAAATGACAAAGAGCAAAAAAAAAACAGGTAACAATTTACTCTTTTCATTTATTTGATGGAATGTGAAAACCTTGTTGAGTTTTCAAAATTTGCCACATCCAAGGTTTGGTCATTATTCATAAATAGTCAAGATAACAGTCCATTATGTAAACAAACGGATTTAAAACAAGACAAATTATTCAGGACATACAATTTTCAGGCAATAAAGTTGCATTCGACTAGCAGTTTTACAAGCATGATGGGGTCTAACAATGTTTAAGCTTGAAATTAACCAATGCATTAGATTTACAATTAAATTGAAATGACAGAGCCAGCCTACTACTTGTAAATCAAAGTAAACAACGACTGTTGCAATTTACAAAAATGATAAAGACAATATTCACAACATCATTCCAGCACCAACACTGAAAATAATTAAAATCAAATGTCATAATTTCCCTGTATGAAGACATTATTGCAGTGTAACCAATTTACAAAGTAGTATAACAGAGGATACATATACACTTGCAAAGAGTCAACATAATGTGAAAGTTATGATATTTGTTGTTACCATTATTACAAAACAACTAAGAGTGACGCACCAGTAGGTGTACCTTTTTTGGATCCCAAAACGTTTTTGGAAAATTTCTGTCACCGGCGCCATCAAGCATGTCACCTAAAAAAGGACGTGAATGAGAATGAGAAAGTTAATGTCAGTGTCTTGCGCCATTGTTGGATTGGTACATTTTTGCACAAAATTTCAGGCACTGGCAACTTCAGGAACACCAGAAAATTCACAACGAAATTTATAAACATCTAAATTGGCCGTTGGTGGCATCTTAATTTTTATATATAGGGGTAACCCTATTGCCCAACAACTGAGGCATATCTATTCTATGGGTGGCAGCTACTACAAACGAGACAAAAAAGACAACAAATGCTAATAAATTTTGCGGAAATTAACCAACAAACATAATGAGAGGAAAATTGATGGCATGTCAAATGGTTCCACTCAATAAAAAATGCAACTGAAAAGCTCAGAAACCTTAAAACTCACAAAAGTATCAGTGATGCTGACGATTTCAGCAAAGCGGATTGATAATGCATAGATGATTGAAGTACAAAGATGAATCACTTTTTTATAATTTTATAATTTTGGCATTTCGGCAAAATAAAACAACACGGGGCACAAACAATTTTAGAACAAATAAACTCGGGAGGGGGGGGTCCATAAAACTGGCATGGCAGCATACGCTACTGTATGCAATCAAATACCATTGTCATGGCTGTAAATTTGGAGTCATCTAAACATGAAGAAAGGGATTGTAAATTGCACATCTCAAGAAGGGTATTTCTATCACAACATTCATATACTTACATGTATTTTGTTACATGAGAATAAACAGATACATTTTGCATAGGAATAATTGCTCTATTTTTATTTATTAGTCAGCTGTATCCCATTTCTCTCAAAATTACTGTCCTTCAAAATTTCTAATTCGCCTCACTTTTATAGACATTGGGGACATTATGGGCCCTTGGCAAATCCTTGTAGGAATACTGTAATATCAAAAAATAAGAATTACTTGAAGTTTGGCCCTGAGCAAGGGCCTTTGTTAATCCCATATTCTGCTTCTCAGATCCTCAATAATTAGAGATTCACATTTTAGTACAAGGGGGTTCGATTTGTAATAATGATACACAATATTTTGTTAATTCGACTTCAGTCTCAAAGAAATCAATCTCCGATCCAGATGAATGTGTAACGGTGTTGAATGACTTTACAAATTAAGCATCTTGGGGTTTTACAATTTTACTCCAAGGATTTCACTGTTAAAGGTCCTGTCCAGTTAATCATGTGTGTGACAACAAATTTTCACTAAAATTTATTCACTATTTTGATATTTTCAGCATATTTTGGGGGTTTTAAATCCAAGAACAATGAGTTTTAATTGTAATTTTAAAAGTTCATAAGGATTATTCAAACATCTGCTGTGGCGAGTTTTGATCAACATAAAGGTTTTGATTTAAAGAGAATTGTCTCTTTATTAAGTTTCATCCAAAAACTAATAGTGTCTGCTTGCTGAGTAACCCAATTCACTGTGGAATCCATGCATGATGCAGTCATTCATTATCAAGGTAATTTAAGACAATTTCACACAATAGATGGCAGAATGAATACAACGCAGATCATTACACCTATAGCAATGCCATATGAATGGTGAAAACAGAGGACACTGACCTCATATGATCCAAGTCAAGTCATCACAAGTTGTCTGCCCATTAATACAGTACAGTACACCCCAGAACCAAGAAAAACAAACTTTCAAGGGCCATTTAGATATTATATCACAGTACAGTTCAAGCATAAATTAGCTTTGAAGCTAGCTTGAAGTGCTACAGTTGTTATGTAGCGCATGTTTGAATTTTGTGTAAACAAACAGAAATAAAAGTTTACATGAGATGTATACAGCGCTATGGGTACCATATTAAACACAGCACGACTGTATAGATTTAAAGCCAGCTCGTTTTCTTTCAAAACTATTGAATTTTTAAATTATGCAGATTTATTAATATTGACATTTATAAATACTACATGTACATACTACAAGTTGAATGGGTGATTTTCCGTTCAACTGCGAGATCTCGCGAGTTGCATGAAAGACGCGCGTCGAACGTCTGCCGCAAAAATCGAACGATTTGATTTTGAACTACAACGCTATGACCTTTGTTTGTCCTGTTATTACGTTCGATTTAACGCATATCGCGTGATTCTCACAGTGAACAGACAATGGTCAATTGTTGATGACAATGATAAAGTTTTATGGAAAAAAAACCCAGCTGATGGCCAGAATGGGAGTTAACTTGAGCCTGGACTGTATCATATGCAAGATTGACATGAAGGAATACAAATGTGAATGAAGTTTCTACTTAAAATCTCCTGTATATATATATACAAACCTCTTCTGTGAGCAGCTTGTATTGCAGCTGCTGTGTTGGCGCCATGGAATGCTTCAGTAGGATTAGGATTCATTGCGCTCGTATGTAATGCTGAATCAGAATTTGTCCTGCATGCAGAAAACAAAAGAAGTCAATCAATCAACAGATTTTAGTTTGACAATTATATCCTGGTATCCACCTTAAATAAAGTAAGCAATGTAAAAAAAAGAGTAAGAGTTCACATCAGATGAGCAACACAACACACATCCCTTCACCTGACAAATTTGCTTATATTATACTTATAGCACAATGTTAATGCACATTCCCATTTCAAGCTGATCTTTAAATCACCATGATACATGAAGTGAAACTACAATTTGAGTTATTTGTCTTCCAATGATAGCAAGGTGGCAAATACAAAATGACTGACTGAAACACAGTTCATAGAAAATGTACATATTAGAAATCAGTCCAGACAACTGTCATCAGTCACTCATATTGTGGATTTGATAGCAAAAAATGTGCATGGCAGTGAAGTTAATCAGTCTAATATAAATATATGTATAAATGTGTCTATGGAAAAAATGTCTGCACACATGCGTGCACAAACACAGACAGACAGACACACACACACAAACATACACAACACAAAGACAGATGGCTGGACACGTATATAGAACTCAATTCAAAAGAGGTCAACAGAGACGTACAATAAGTTTACCGGTGTCTGGATAATAGGTCTGTCAGCTGTTGCAATAGTCTCACTATTTGGTAATACTGGGTCATAATAAAGGCCTCAAGGACGCTGACTACTTGCCAAAGGTTTATTTTGATGAATGAACATTTCTAGCCCAAGTGATTGACCCCCCTTTAGAAAAGTTGCTCACTGAGACATTCATAGAGTTTTATCATGGTCTTGCAACAATCAATTACAGAACATACTGGATAGTATTTGCATGCATTGCTGAAAAACGATAAAGATTTTTGACCCACAGTAATTTGGAACAGAATCAAATCTTTGAAAAATTAAATAATCCCATAATAATAGTGCTAAGACCCCAATAAAGCTGTATGAATATACTCTGAGTACAACAGAAACTTTAATCCTGTCAGCCTCTATGTACTTTTACATGGACTTGACCAGATAAGGGTTAAGGTCAAACTCATCCTGGCAATGAACATTAATTTTTGACTAGTCAATTCTAGAAATGACCACATCTCCCAGACTTATTTATATCAACACCACCTTTAGGAGGTACATGTAGGTTAGTATGAGCGTGGAAAATGATATTTCTTCAAATCTGTATTTTCCTAATGAGGGAGCAAGTTCAAATACGCATAAAATATTCCATGGTTGAATTTCCATGTTAGTGAGAATATACTATACCAGATTGTACTAAAGTTGTCACTCTAATGCGACAATCTGTGTAAAATACAGTTACAGGAAACCCCCCAAAACAAAGAAATTTCATTCACCATGCATTCTCGTTCCAGATACAAGTTGAAACAAACTTGATTTGAGATGCATATACATAATGATATAAAACGAAAATTAATATCTGGATTTCATCCTATAGATTTGTTTGTGTATTTTGTTTATTCAATACTCCATGTGCATGTCATCACACAAGTCACACAACCTGGTACTTCTGAATGTAAATTCACTATCAAAGAGAATTTCTAAATTATTTCTCCCCTAAAATGCAAACAGTCAAAGTTCAGTGAAGTTCAAAAACTGTTTAAAATGTGTGGCATAATATTGCAAAATATTAATGCTGTCCAATATATTTTGTTTGTTGCTTTTTGTTATATGAATAGTATGTCCTGTATACCAAATAAAACAATTATGCTATCCACAAGATATCCAGGTCAGAAATTGTTCGCAAACAACTGAACATTGCAGAGCATTTATGTTCAAAACAGCGGTACATTTCAGATATTTAAGTATTCAACATAAAAAATAAACAATGTACCTCTTGATTCCAATTCATGGCTCATTTTACTACATATGTTCAAGACTTCAAATAACTTTAACAGATAATACAGAACAAAAAATACCCTTAGAAAGTACCAGGATGTGTGACCTTTAAACAGATCATGCACAAGGTATATTATTATTTCTTTTTTTGAGAATCCAAACCACAAGTAACTTTCAAGCTAGCGCAAGGCCTCATGGAATTGCCAGGATGTGTGACTTTCAGGGTCATGCAAACAAAGAAAAATATTGCTGGTATTCTATATGTACAGGTTAATTAAGAGTAATATTTGTATTTGTGGAAATATGTGCATACAGCTCAATAACCAGTCACCTTTTATGAAACACCAATTCAGCAAGGATTTTTGCTGTGCTAATTTGTGAAACAATTTTAATGTGTAAATGAGAGCAATGAAACATTTGAATTGTCAGAATTGATGAAATCAGCATTATTCATGCTCTCAGGTATGAAGACAATCATCAATTTATGAATGACTATGCAAGAAAATTATAGATGCCGTGTTATCTATTTTGGTACATTTGAATATACATTGTATATGCCAAACATGACACTGACAAAACTGTACAATAAATACATACTGGTAATTGTTGGTGGGAATCTTATCAATTGTCAATGGGCTTTTTAATATTGAAATTTGGGGTGAGAGCACAAAACTATGCATTCACTCAATAAGGTACATTTAATATACAATAGTCCAGTAGAAAAGCATGTGGTGACAATTTACAAGCTATGGGTCCACATTCTTTCTCCTATTTAATTATTTTGGGTTTGAGAGGAAGGGATTTTGTGTGTTTGTTTATTAATATGAATATGCAGTACCGGGTTAAAAATTACCTCTGGGCTAGGTTTAAAAACATGCTTCAATATTCAAACAGGACATAAGGAATAATGCTGAAATCTAAAAAGTAGACCAACTAGAAAATAAGATCACAGTGCAGCGCTGCATAGAGTGTGAAATTGTCATGTCATAAGAGAATCTTAAGTGTGTGTGTGAGTTGGGATTCTTAGAAAAGTCAAAAGTTGTTGTTTTTTTGATGTAGCCTAACCAACCATGAATATTATAGAAAGCAACCACTGAAACGAGGTCAGTGACCTGAGAATGTAATCACTCAATTCCTGCAACACACACTCCTATCAATGCACCACTACGTCATCACAGCTTCATGCTGTGGTCAAGACATTAGTCCACAGAAGAGAAGAATGAAGACAAGCAAGGGAAAAATAAGCAATAGCGGGTATCTCAGTGATGTGTTTGAATTCCTTTTTCTTATAAAATGATGATAGTCTTAGTAGTTAGTTAGTCAGTTAGTGAGTGAGTAGTAAGTAAAGCCCACAAGGTGAGGGAAAACACTGCCCGAGGAGGTGATTTTACTACCAATATTAATTATAGGCAAAAAGCAATGCAAAAAGCTTAGCAAGTTGCTGGTGAACATTAGAATCCTAGCTGGCTATCTCAGACCTATTTGTAATACTTCCTACCTTATTGCAAGCAACTTGGGTTCTAGATCATGACAATTGTGTAACCACATACTAAAGGTAAGAAAATAGTTTTCTTTAATTGCTATCACCTGGCAAAAAGGAGCATGCAATAACACATGACAAACATCAGCAACAACGAAAAAAAAAACAACACATTTTAAAACACTTGAAAAATAAAAGTAACACAAATTATGGCAATTCATAACAAGCAATTAACATGCACTGTTACCATTCCTATTGGGTATGTAAAATAAATTGTAATGTCTATATACATTTACTCTGATATTGGAATTTTAGTAATCCAGGAGATGTACTGTAGCGAGCAAACATTACTGGTGCTACAGAGTAGGGTTTATAGAGGTTTTTTTGGAGCACCCTAAATGAGCCAAGAGCTCTTTTCCGGCACTTACACCACAAAATACACATTGTCCAGCTAACCAGCATTGTGAATGTATTGACTTCATTCAGAGTGCTAATACAACCCCCTCCCCCCAATTGAATACTGATTTCACCAAATGGCAAAGGTCACCAGCGTTTATTGCAATGTTCTTAGAAATCAATATAACACTTATTAACATAACAATGAATGATTGTCAACACAGCCAATCGCTTTTAAAACCCAACAAAAATGTGTTATGAATTCGCATAATGGCACCCACGCTGGCTACATTCTTGAACGCTACATTTCTACATTTGTTTTACAACTCCTGCCCACCTGCATAGTGACATACTTTTATGCTCTTAATATATAATGACAGGACAGAATAAAATGAATAGTACTTAACAAGTGCCCTCATTGTACATTCAATTACTAGCTTAAATGTTACCATATTTGTTCTATTAAGCACAACCCAAATCAAAGCACTCATATCAATAAACCAAAAATTGCAATTATTTAAAATACTGTTTTTTTTACAACCAGCCTCTTGAGCAAATTTGATAAGTTTACAGGTATATTGTCTCTAGCAACCAATATTCCACATATTGGTAACACATTAAAATCAAATAAAGCTTAGAAAGAACTACCGTTTGCTGAGATTATTGAAGATTGATGAAGACACATCAAATTTAATTCAAAATTTAAGATTTGCTTTTCAAACGAGAAAGCTTGGCAACTAATATTTGTCTGCTTTTTGAGATGTACAAGATGAAAACAATGTGATTCACATTATCAAAATTTATAATACAAACAGAAAATACATTTTATTTTTCATCCATGGTTTTTAGTCTAATTAATTCCAGAGCACCTCTGTGATGAATTCAATTCAAATCTGATTTTTTTAAATATCAGAAATAGGTTAATAATAGATAATCAATTTGCATGTTTATCAACATTAAACTAATCATGTCTGTGGATTAGCTCAAAGAACCAAATGAAATATTATACAAATTATAAAGCAATTATTATGTATAGATTTAGGTCTGTAAATTGTTTCAGAACGCACATGTACAAAATTTCATTATAATGTGATGAGAAATCCTAACTAAATTAGTAGAAAGCTGAAAAGTAAATTATTATGCAGATTAGGTAATTAATATGATCTGATTTTAACTCAAAAATAAGCAGGTCTGTGCATTGTTCTAGAGCATCAATGTACCAAGTTTCATTATAATGGAATAATTAATTAGTACATGTGATATCAACCAGTGTAAAAGCTGAAAATTGGCAAATTAGGTAATTAATATGCACTGATTTTAACCCACTAGTCAGGTCTGTGCATTGTCCTAGAACATCTATGTACCAAGATTCATTGAAATAAGATAATTAGTACTTGCGAAATTAGTGTAAAAACCAAAAATTAACTAATTATGCAAATTATGCACACATAATTATGCACACATTTTTACCCAAAATTAACTAGGTCATTGAAAAGTAATTAGTACTTGAATTATCAAAAGCTGAAAAGAAATGAATTATGCAAATTTGGTAATTAATATTTCACATAACAGTCTGTGCATTGTCCAATGTATCTATATGTAAGTTTCATTGAAATGTGATGATTAGTACCTGAGATATCAGTAGAAAAGCCGAAAATTTACTAATGATTATGCAAATTAGGTTGATTATATGCATGGATTTTTACTTAAAACTAATCAAATCTGTGCATTAGTCCAGAGTATCTATGTACCAAGTTTCATTAAAAATGAATGGCTCTTTAACAGTAGAACAGTCATGGAACAGATAAAAATTAGCTATCATACAAATTAGGTAATTAACATGCATTGTTTTCAATCAAAACCTAATCAAATTCGCCCTGAGCAGCTATGCACCAAGTTTCATTAAAAACCAACATACGGTTATTGAGATATCAGTGGAACGAACTGACAGAGACACACACATACATACAGACAGACTAACTGCAAAGACTCCCATTGTGTGCTTCACACACAGGAGTCAATTATTGTACACTGCTGATTCCTAAAATAAAGTCACAGTCCAGGTAAACCTGTTTGTATATGGGATATTTTCAAAACAAGCAAAACGCCAATCATAACAACCAACGACAGAGTTGTTAAATTCCTGATAACAATGCCATTTTATGTAGTAGATAAGCAATACAGAAAAATGGAAAATTAGGTGCAGAAAAAACTTCCCAAAAAATGTGTAGTTGTCATTTATTCTTGGTTTATAAAAAAAAAAAAATGGGGATAGTAATTTAGATTACATGAAATGCCACAGCTTGAAATAATTTCTTAAATTTTGTATGACTATGGTATGCTATCTCTCAACCCTGCAGTACTTTTCAAAGATCTAATCACAGTAAACACAAGTTATGTGATACGTATTGACTGCATCTTTGATAAAATGTATGCAACTTTATATTATGCAACAAGGGTATCAGGTTTGTCAAGAAACAACTGGTGTAAGGAAAAACATTCAGATAAAAAAGTTATGTTCTCTACGATGTTTTGATGCATGGGATGACCTGCCACTCTGTCCTTTGACCTGAAAAGTCAAGCAGGTCATTAAGCAATCAGAATGCTGTGTGGTACTGCCAAATACCGGCCATGGTTAACCTTGAGTAACATGTTTCTCAGCCAACATTTTTGGGTATCATTTTGAACATTTTTTAACAATTTTGTTGTTAAATATTTAACTAAATGAACACAATTTTCTCATTGGCTACCAGTTTTGATCAACATTTGAAAAAATATGGAAAAAAGTTGTGCTTTATGAGTTGACTTTGGTGTTCATAGAGCAGAATGCAAAAGTAATTTTCATAACTATTGAAGTTATCAAAGACTGTCATTATGTTTGATGACTGATTGTCAATTTTGATAAAAAGGATATAGCATCTTTTTTTGGAAGATAACTGTTGAAATGTAGTTCACCCATTTATGTTTGCCAAAATAAACATTGTATGCCTAAACAGGTGGCAGTTTGCCATGAAAATATAAATTCAGCCCACTTTAAGAAAACATGTTTGAATTTACTATACGTCTCCTGTCCAACAAAGTAACATCTGATCAGAAAAAAACAATTCTGATATTTTTATAAAATTTTCAAAGATTTAGCTCATCTAGACTACTAATCAATATCCAATTAACATCTATTAACAGACTCAGGGTCATAAATGGTCACAACTCAGGGTCACAAATGTTCACAACTCAGGTCCATAGATAAAATAAATTCTCTAGATCACTGTAGCAACCTTCAAAAAATTCATTAAGATTCAGACAAAATTTCAAGAAAATTTGGCAAACTGCTGATTAATAAATAATGATGATACTCAGCTTGAGATCCGTCAATTGAGATGACACAGTAGTTGAACTGACATATGCAAAATAAATTATAAAACATGCACGAATTTGTACCAAAAAATAATCGGACCTTATTTTACAACCTAAGCTCCAAGCGAAGAACAGTGATAGAGCATATAATATACCCATATATATATATATATAATATTACCCTGCTCAAGAAATATAAATAAGATCAAGACAAATTAATAAACATAATTTGCCCTAATTAAATTTTCAGTTTAATGAAGTTGATCAATATGATGACAATCTAGATGCGGTAATTAAGTATGTTAAGCAACATGATTGGGCACGTTTCAGACTCAATTAAATAACTATTAATCTTTCATTTTTGTGAGGGCAGCCATCTGTGTTAATTATTCAAATTGATCTCATTTCTTATAGTATTAGCCTGAAAATCATTATTATAGCTTATCTGGAGAGGTCAATCATATGGTGCCAAATAAAGCCCATGTCAAAACTAATGGAGTGCAACAAATTTTAATAGAATTAATTTATTATAGTTTAATTAAAACTGTTGTTCTAGATCTAGACAAGACTTTTATCTATTCATTTTCTCCCAATTTATATAAACAAGCAGCCTCTTGGCTGAGATAGCTCCGCTGTTAGCAAGGGACACTTCAATTGAAGAACTGAAGATATCATTAGAAAATGAACAATATGCATAGTATGTATAATATGTATAGCAATCGAACTTGCTATTTTAACAAGTCAAAAATATCACTTTTTACCAAAAATGACAAAAATATTCACCAAAATTAGAGAATTGAGGATATCATCACAAAATGAACAAATCTGAGAAAGGTCCACATGTATCAAAGCAATTGGACTTTTGGTTTTTAACAAGAAGTCGAAAATATCACTGTTTACCAAAAATGACAAAAATATTGAAGGTATCACCAAGAAATGAACAAATCTGAGAAAGGTCCACATGTAGCATCTATATATGCAATATCAAAGCAATTGGACTTGCGGTTTTTAACAAGAAGTCAAAAATATCACTTTTTACCAAAAATTACAAAAATATTCACCAAAATTAGAGAATTGAAGATATCAACATGAAATGAACAAATCTAAGAGAGGTCTACCCAAGGTACATATACAACAAGTATCAAAGCATTCAGGCTTGTAGTTTTCAAGAAGAAGTCGAAAAAGTAAAACATTGACTCTGAACGACGACAGACGCCGACGGACAATCACTCATATGATAAGCTCCGCTCGACAAAGTCGACAGCGAAGCTAACAATTAAAAATTGTTAATGCGAAAAAGGAAGTGCATTCTACTTGCACTTCATGTAAGCCACAGGTGTCAGGTCCATTAGCATAATATTAACAAGTTTTCCACAAACATATTACTGATACAAGATACCAAGCTATTTATAATACATGATGTTCACACGTCTAGCCAAACATGCAGGGTCAATTTTGAGACAATAAAACTCGCTGTTAAAAAAAGTGCATCAACAGATTAACCTCCGTCTTGACCCAGTTTAGTTTTGATTTGAGTCAGAAGGCTGTTATTGACCTTGAGTGCCATGTAAACTCACTGTGGCCAAGGTCTCGGAAATAAACAATGCTCTCTAACAGCGATCCACTGTGATGTAGCACACTTATAACGAACATTAATGTAGTGATCTAAGCCCTTTCTTTTTCCGCATATGTGAACAAGGCTTAAGTTATGAAAGCATACGCACGATAGAAGTAATATTATTTAATCGAGAAAACAAACAAATGTTCAATAATGTCACAGAATACACTGCTACAATAACACACCACAGTACAGGCTAGATATGAAAGCTATAGCACTGAAAACAATGCTCCAAGGCACACCAGCAGTTCCTTTAAAAGCTAAAATGGTTACGAAAATTTGTTATAAATTCTGGTTACTGAACCATATTACAGTACCAGTATACTGATAATTTACATAGTTATAGTATACACTACGCTCACTTGATGAGAATGTCAAAAAATTGCAATAGTTTGGGTTTCATTAGATTTAAACACACTTACCTTCTCCAGTTTGTGTCTGGTGGTGGTGACAAGTAGTGTCCATAGGGAGACGCATCTGCCTGAAAAAGTATGTCAAGGCAAATAATCTAGAATAATGGGGCAGATAAATGTTTGGATATCATTATTTCCAGTTATATTGTGCGAAGCACAAAATGTTAAAGGGAGCACACCTGTTTATGCTCAATCAAACCTATTCCACTGAATATAATAAAATAGAAGTTGCTTCTGAAATAGTTTTACAAATTCTCATGATTTGATGGCATTAACAGGCACTAAAAGTAACGGTGTAATATTCACTGCAATAAAGTTTTACCATTTCATGAATATAGTAAAAACCTATTTCTCAGACAGTTAAATTTGGTAATTTTTTCCCCCAGGTTTGTTGGGTTTTTTTCAACACTGATTTGACATCCATGATAAATTTCTGCCTGATTTTAAAAAGACATGCAGGGAATGGTATAATATACAATGCATTTTAAACGAATATAAATCCCACTATAATCTATAGACACTTATCGTGCAATTTCTACTACAATTTTCGAAAAATTTATTTGGAGAATATTGTTTAAATTAGTATATACGGTATTATTGTTCATTTGGGATAGTAGGCAACATTCTGTTGAGTGTTAACCAACCAACAATATTTTGTAAAAATGGGCGACATATTTACTATGCACAAATTGCTATTGTGAGAACACAGTAGCTGTGGAAATTTCTATGATGTCCTAGCAGTGACTTTCACAAAATCTTATCTTTACACAAATGCCATAAAATCCTAAAATAGCAGAATTTCTAGTTGTGAACATTCATTTATGATTAGGTTTAAACCTTATCCCTATAACTTAATTTTTCAACACACAAATGTACGACAGATGGTGTTTAGTGGTGGGCTGAACCACAATGATTCAAAAACATTCAAGTTTTATATTTATTATATTTGTAGGCAGCACCATGTACAAAAGACATTCACCAAAATATTGTTGCAAAAAATTATTAATTAATAATGGGCAATAATGTTATTAAAATTATGTTTGCAGAGTTTCAATACAAAGCTCATATTAATTTCAATAAATTTATTAATAATACAGTGTAAGCATAGATTTCTACTTATTAAATAAACTAGCACTACACGTCGTTTATACACATTTCGAACCAATAAATGCAATCACAATAGTATAGCAATGTAATTTGGCCACAAAACAAAAACATCCAACGAGTATTCTATATGTCTGGGACACATACCTGCTCGGCTCTCCAGAGTCGTAATTAAATGCAGCGCAATCATAATTATAATGTGACATGAACATTGAGTGGTGATTACTATATAATTATAATCATGCTGATGTGATATTTTGCCCTGAGAGAGCAGCAACAAATGTCAATTGAAGGTCACTTAGAAAATAAACAGTCCGCTTGTTATGACAGCATAGGGGGTGGGACCTCCCATAGCAGTACAATTACCCCCACCAAATTACACCGCGGCCACCACCACCAAAACCTAAATAATGTCATTCCAAAATGTTTGTGAAAAAACAAATATATTGAGTAAACCAAACAGTCATTTATATTCACATGCAGCTTACAGAGCACACGGAGTGACATGCCAAGTGGGTCAGCAACTCCACCTGTCTGCCTTGCCTGCCAGGTACACCACGGAAAGTGAAACAATCCCGGGCCGCAAGACCATATTCTGCACAATAAACCACTGGGATGGACACACCCATATTTGTCCTAACATTTTAGTGAGCGAGAACCCCACTACCCACGCATATATTTTATCCTAAAAACCAATGTTTTGACCCAATTTATCAACTGCAATACAGAAGACTTTAACACACAAGGATACTCGTCGATGCGTCGTTACCCGACGTGGCACACGATCAATCAGACTGGCACGTCCTGATTTCATGTCTTCCAGTCCTTGTAAAGCACTCTGGACAAATTTTAATAAAAAAATAAATATAAGAATACTGCACTGAACATGGCATATATTGTACATGCGAGCGAACTACAGTACTTATGATGGACGCGAATACTAACCTGTAAATCTATAGCGTTTGAACCAATCTGATTGACATTCGGTAAAGATCCACCACGGTAGGCGCCAAGACTTTGTAGTTGTAGATGGTGCGACTTCTGATAGTGAGCCTAAAATATATTATTAAGAAAACACAACGGTTTACGAATGCGACCTACAATCAACATCTCAGGCTGTGACATCTTCGACACACAGACATCCCTAAGTCAAAGCACGGAAGCACCGCCATAGTTGCTCACTTGCGATATCACATCATCGGCGCAAAAAATGATACAGCTACTTACCCTAGCGACGTTCGACACTTCTTTCATAATTTGTTCAAATGCCGCTGTTTCCTCTGCCTGTTTTTGATTGTGAAGGGCAATTTTCTCGCTAAATTTCCTCGGGTTCGCCATGTTGTTGGCTTACCACTATTACCAGATGAAAAGGAGAATGTTGTCATTCATAGCCATGCGGGGGGTCCCCACATCTAAGCCAATCAGAGCAACAGGCTTGCATCATGTGACCATGTTCCATTATAAACACACGAGCAATATTGCTGTGAGAATATACCTGGCCCGAGTCACAGTGAGCCTAATTATTTTTTTCTTTCTTCAATAAAGGGTTGTCTTCCTAGCAAAAATATCCGAACTCACTAGTCTGGTTTCCGTACGTTTTCATATCATGTCACAGAATAATGTCGGAACCTTCCTGATGTGGGTGTCATTGATGGTGAGGTAGTGAATGAATGAACGTTAAAATTGAAGCCAACCTGATGTTCCCACGATTTCCGAAATGCATATGTGAATAAAAAATATAGTTATTTATTGGAGGATATATATATATAGTCTGTGAGCTTTTTTTATTATTATTATTATTATTTTTATGATTTCACTGAAGGATAGTAATAATTATGAAAATTAACCATTTATATAAAACACACTCCATGGTTTGATCATTGCCACACCTGTCATTTGTGTTTCCAGCACTCGCCTGTGGCCTCTACATTTGAGCTGAGGTCACTAACAGACTCTCCTCCGGGTCTTGGTTTGAGTTGGGGGCATTTCTTACTTAGCACATAGTGCAGTGCTGAACAATTCAAAATTCCGGAGAATTCATGGAAATCGTCACGGTCTTGTTTTTCATTTCACGATGACGCGCCTGAAATTAGATTTCCGGTATATTCTGTGAAGTATCCGGAATTGTACTCGAGAATGCGGAAAGCTGGTGTATTTGGTGTCAAAATACGGAATTGCTAGTTATTGACGTATTTATCATGCAAAATGGGAAATATTACAAGTTAGTTCCAATAGAACATGTACTCTCTCAACTTTGTTTTCTTAGTACATTTTTTTGGGCATTTTTTCTAAATATTTAATCAAATGAAATAATAACAATATATATTAAAAAAACGTGTACAATGTGTATCTTAAATTTCTACTCCAGTCGCAAACTGACGCAATGCTACTCTTATGTCAATATCCGCTGGGTCTCATTAAGACACATTGGTTGTTCATCCCGGAAGAAGTATTGGGAGTTTAGGATCCCTTATGAATTGTCAAACCCTACTCTCAAAACAATAACGCATTCCGTACATGCGTATATGTTACTTAGATAGGCAGGACATTCACCTTTATAACAAAAAACTAGTCGACAAATATTGGAAAACCGTATGGAGAAAACTGCATTACAGCTATTTTCGATAAATATAGGAGAATAATCTTTTGTTTTGGTAGATCATGGAGGTTTTTACCTCCATGGATAGATGGACTGTGATTATTCCGGATGGCTAAGTTGCATGCGCTGAATTTCACCATCAACAACTTTACAAGACAAACAAATAATAGACTTATAAATTCAGTAAAACATACCTCAATGATTAGTCTATCAAGTTTACTGACTCCTTGTGTAACGTTTATATTGAACCTTGGAAACTACGTAGATATATTTAAATTGGAGAATACGTGAGAAATCGTTCACAAACATTGAAAAGCAACATCCCTTACTTAGTTGTAGTTTTAAATATAATTGGACCGAGAACACTTACCATACTTATATAATCACACTATAATCGTGTTCACCTTGGTGAGATATAAATATACTTGTACCGAGAGTAAAATGCCGATCACGTGACTATGCGCACTTGTCATTAAACGGTTACGTTTGTACACTTAACACGTTAACTGACGATTTTTATATAGTTGGTTTGAAATGTCATTATTTATTAATAATGAAAAATTACCGCATTTGTACATATAAGATGATCCATTAAACACGCTATATAAAATAAATGCATAAACATAGTCAATACATCGATTACATTTATAATTTTTCAATTCAGTTCTACAATTTGTATTTGTTGAAACGCTGCTTTTTGAGTCATGTAGCTTACTTAATGCTTTACCTATAATGGAGATGAGCTTTCTTGGTAATGGGCCAAGTACAGTGACGGAGTGAACATATGTTGGTGAAATATGTCGACATTGGGGGCGCTTCGGCCACAAGACTTCCATATACTTGATGTTGACAGTTCTGCTTTACAAAGCTTTGTTTATGCACAGTCTCCCTATCCAGGACTGTGGTTTACATTATGTTTTATAGACAAAAAATAGAATTAATCGTGAAAAATGGAACTCATTGGCAACTCACTCGGCCAATAGTATTGTTGTATGAGACGTTGGACCATGGACGGCGTATACAGACAGCAGTGGCTTTGTTTTGCGGATGGAAATTGTGTTTGGCGCTATAAAACTACTGAGAGCCGGAGATCACACAACGCATTGGTAGACACTCGCACGTATATCAGCGAGTTTTCCTGCCAGAATGGTCGCCCATCTTTAATTTGAAAAAAATCTATACTGACTGTAATGTTAGTTTTTACATGATTAGAGTAAGTTGTAGATATTGAGAGGTCGGACGTCATTTAAACATTCCCACAAACCAGAGACATTGCCTCTATAGCAAACATGGTAATAATGTGAACGTTGTAGAAAAGGAACACCAGGCATTTCATATATATAATTATTTCCAACAAATAAATCTCAAAAAATTCAAATGTGCTATAAAAAATGTAACCGTGCAAGCATTCTGAGCGCCCAGTTGATTTTGTGAAAAGTGTATTTAACAAAAAAGAGTCATCTGTTTTTTGTCAGTGATGGAAATTGTGACGTAAAACGTTGGGCTAACCAGTGTGTCTATGTCGATATGCATGTCACCGTGCCTCAGTGTTTTACTTCTCTTGGCTTATATCCCTTATTAGGGCATACATCAGTGAATTTAGCGCAGCTGTTCCGAAATTAAAAAAAAAAAGGCTCAAAATAGTGTACTATGATGCGGCCCTTAACATAACATATAAACACACGAACATGCATGGAACTTGTTGGTAGTATATATTTTGTTTGAATATTATTGACATTTTCTACTAATTAATCCCTGTTCAGAATTCATGTCATTGTTGAGCTAATATCGGAGTTTCTAAAGCTTCCTCTTTTTTTCAAAAAATAATAATAATAAAAATGTGTCACGCAAACCCAGGTAGATACAAAATTCAGTATTTTCATTCCCGACATGTTACACGGTGCGTGGTAGTGAATGAACACTCTTGAACACTCTAGACTAAGTACGAGTTCTTTCATTGAGAGACAACACATTTCTTCAATGTATAACATGATTTATGTCTGCACCATCATAAATCTATACGCTGGGACTTTGGAGTACCAATTTAGTCAGTAAGATTGTTTCCAGGAAAGACGTACGCTTTTTTTTTTTTGAAGTACGAACAAATAATGAGTGAAAATGATATGTTTGTTTTCATTAAGGCACGCGTAGCCATATTTGTCACATAATCGTATTTGTCGAAACTTTATCTCCTAACCAACCTCGTCATAACCGCGGAAATAGAACGCCCAGTGGACAATTCAAGACCCACAAGAAATAGTTATAACATATTTTCATCTTTTTATAAGTAGGTGAAATTCATGCCTTCATGAAAAGGGATGAATGTTCCTGAGTTGAATCAATCAAGGCTACTAGTTATCGCGACAGTGACCATTTCTTTTTTTCTTTGCACACGGTGGACCATTTACCCTTGCATGGGCGTTATTTGCATTAATTAATAGAATAATTCGTAAAATAGATATAAATAACAGCGTAATGACCCTTTGAATTTCAGGAATTTCCGTTTCCATCATTGGTGTACATGATTCAGATTATTGCACATCGAAATCACTAGTCTAACTCTATGTCTTGAAATATAATTCTATTTTGGGCTTTTTTATTTATTTATTTTTTAATCACGATTGCAACAACCTAAAGTGGTACCAGTCAATAAATAATAAATTAAAATAAAATAGAACAAAATAAAATATATAAAAACAATAATAAATAAATAAATAAATAAATAATCAAACAACAAACAAATCAATAAATAAATAAATAAATAAACAAATAAATAAATAAATAAATAAATAAATAAATAAAGAAAGAAAGAAAGAAAGAAAGAAAGAAAGAAAGAAAGAAAGAAAGAAAGAAAGAAAGAAAGAAAGAAAGAAAGAAAGAAAGAAAGAAAGAAAGAAAGAAAGAAAGAAAGAAAGAAAGAAAGAAAGAAAGAAAGAAAGAAAGAAATAAAGAAATAAATAAATAAATAAATAAACAAACAAATAAATAAATAAATAAATAAATAAATAAAGAAGCAATATAAGACCCTTCAGATTAACGCTAAGTTTACCTTTTTTTCTTGGATTGATCAATTTTCAAAATTTGACATTGACCTATATTTCAGACCCTATATTGGTAAATAATAATGTATTGGTTAATAAAAAATAATGACCAATATATGGTTGTTTTTAGAATGTCCAATCAATGTGAAAAGCAAAATGAAAAGTGTTGTTTAAGGTCAGCAAAATTTGTTTTTCGTATATCAATCTGGAAAGTGTTTATATCTGGAAAATGTTTAATAACCTTAATCCGACCTTTCAATAAGGTCAGGGTGACCCGGGTCGCGATGCTGTAAAGTTCAGACTGTATACATTTTCTCGTTTGGCAGTAATTACTAATGGTTACATATGGCACTGTAAACTATATGCTGCCCGGATATGCTAATATTTGTAGTTCGACTCACGGACTTAAATCATCCATAGGAAAACAAGGTGGCAGCGAAAGCCCGCAACCGGTAAACGCAAACCGTTACATTTTATTTTTGTCACATGACCTCAGTTTAATCAAGACGTCACATTTGCCATTTGAACTCCAATTCAAAATGGCTGTCGTTCTAATTTCCGGGAGGCTGTTTAGAAACCTACGTGAATTAATTACATTTGTTGTGCTACTGTTAACGATTTGTCAAATAGTCTGCTGTAGTAGTAAGTATGACATGGTTTTGTGCTTGATAACCATTTTGGAAGTGTCGTCATAAACGTTATAATCATTTATAGTTTCGTGTCGTATCGGTGTACTTTTATTTTGTCAACAAAACGGCACCAATAAACTGGGGTAAAACTAAGAGTTCAGTAGGGCCCCTCATTCATAACTGTAATTCTAACTATGCCCTTCCAGTTCTCCTTCCCGAGTGTAATAGTATATTTCCCTCTTCAGGACACATATGGTTAACTGCAGGGGCATATGCAATTACACTGGGGGGGGGACTGCATGGGGTGTTAGAATTCAGGTATGGGGATGGGGGTTGATGAAGATAAGAACTCTTTCCACAACACATACATCTTAATTTTCTTACTTTAAAGCTATATTTCTGCTTTATTCTTAGTTATAATCCTTTCATCTCTTTCAAGGAATGTTATGTGTTAATAGAAATTATTATTGTTGTTATTAAATTCACAGCACATCATGAAGACAGTGAACAATATGTTGTGCGAATTGAGAGGGAAATCCAGAAACAAAATGATCACAGGAACGTTAGCAGTGCGTTTGACAATTATCAAGACAAATGCCCAAGTTCAGTTGATGAATGCTCAGAACTTAGCAATGAATACATAGACTGTAACTATAATCTATCCTGTATTTATGGCAAATCTTCTACTGTTGAATGTCGGCCCAAGACAGATATTGAATGCTTTGTAAGTATTTTTTAATTTATAAATATACTGCATTGCTGATTTGATTATTTTTTGTTTTTGATGAATATTTGCATAGTCATAATATAACCAATGAATTAATTAAGCAATACCCCCCCCCCCCCCCCGCTGAAGGTGAGTATACCACGAGATATTGCACAATTCAGGACATATATGCAACGAGCCGCAAACGAGTGCATGTATGGAGTGAATTATGCAATATCTGGACAATTCGATAAAAAGAGTTTACTTACATCTACTATAAGATCATGATTATGGCCCTTGAACATGAATATTTATAAAAAACAGTATGTAGCTGTATACTTGAATGCACACACAAAATACACACACAACACAGTTTAGATTAAATACAATATATTATTTTGTGTGAAAACAAAACATTTCCACAGTGAATAGAACATTGTAAATACAAAAAATTAGCATAACAAAAGATGACCTTTTACTGACTACGTCAACGCCATTTGAGATACAGAGTCGTGTACAATTTGGATCATTACAACAACGGATTTTCCACATTTTCATGCCGTTTTTTTGTACAATTTGGACTGTAATTGGCCCATTGAAAGTTCAGTTGTGAAATAAACTGGTTTTCTGACTCATCATACTACCTGTAACTGTGGATATTTGACATTCAGCGGTACTTTATTGACTGAAGTTTGAGACTGACATGGCGAACGAGGTAGTGTATCATGTATGGTGACCGGCACAGCGACCTCAGACCCAACTTCTGACCTAGATACATCTTTGGTATAACCAAGGTTTTGTGACAGTATCGTTCTGAGTTTGTTGGTGCAGGATCAGATGCTTGCATCGTTTTTGTAACACATACATGATATGCCTTGTCTCAACTCCGGCCGAATGAAGGACTTTGCATGCTGTCGCTCTATTATACAGTGGTTGATTTACACTCTGGACAAATTTGCAGGTTTCGAAATTCATCATTTCCCCTAATTAGTCCGTGTTCAGACCCAGTCTGAAAACGGGGACTTATGTTTTGACCCTTGTGCATCCGTGCTTCCGTGCGTGCGTCCGGACCTCTATCTTAGAAATGCCTGGACAAATCATAATCAAGCTTCACACATACATCATACATGATATTATACATATGCACGTCAATTTGTTTCAGGATCTGATTCAACATGGCTGAATGGCGGCCATTTTTGTGCTAAAAAATCATCATAATCAAGCATTTCTCTGCTGTTTACAGATGGATTTTGTTCAAACTTGGTATATACATTAGACATTATGGGACCTTGATGCAAACAATTTTATTTTTCGGATCGGATTCAAAATGGCTGATTGGCGGCCATTTTGTTTTAATGAATGGGCTTCTAGACCCATATCTCTGACTTGCTTTGACTGATTATGTTCAAATTTTTAATATTCATTATACATCATGTCATAGATTTACAGATATATTTGTTTAACAATCCTATTCAAAATGGCCGAATGGTGGCCATTTTTGCACTAAAAATCATCAAATATCAAGCATTTAGACATTACGGGTTCCTGATGCATGTCATTTTATTTTTCAGATTGGATTCAAAATGGCTGACTGGTAGCCATTTTGTTTTAATGATTGGGCTTCTAGAGCCATATCTCTGACATGCTTTGACTGATTATGTTCAAATTTTATATATTCGTTATACATCATGTTATAGATATATACATGTATTCAAAATGGCTGATTTTGTTTTAATTAATGCTGTTCCAAAGCAATATCTCCCAATATGGACAAGTACTTGTTTGACAATCAATACAAATGTCAATCATTTTAATGTTAAACAATCATCATAATCATATTCCTGACATGGTTATATTCCAGCTATATTTAATACTATAAACAAAACTATATATCTTAAATTTGATAACTAACAGGGACTGTGCCATGCATGGCTTCTTTATTTACCCCCGGTGGAGAATTACAATACCATATATCGTCGTCGAATTCTGTAATATCCTATGGTCTTTGAAATTGATGGCAATTAAACGGGTGCAGTTTTGTCAGCTAGAATTCGAATGTCGCTATGAGACACCGGTTGTTATTGGTGGCATAGATTTTTGCCTGTGCCTCGTAGTTTTTTGCATTTTTTGTTTGTTTTTCAATCCCTCAATCTCATCTAGTTGGTCACCAGTTGAACTTAAAGATCAAGTTTTCTTTGTTGGAGGTTTGCAATCCATTTCAAAGTCATAACATGGAGGACAAGTCATGTTTTATCAGCAAAAACAGCATTCTGGAATTAGTTTAGGTTTGTCTGGCGAACGACGATCGCCCAACGACCGACACTCACAACTCGGATCCCGCCATTAATAAAATGCAGTATTATGGTTATATAATTTTCAGGTGTTTTTATTTTGGTAATTTTTCCAATAATTTTCCAAAATTCAACCTCAATCAAATACTACCGGTTTAATGTATTTCCGCATTAAACCTGTAGTCAATTCATGTTCCAGGGCCACTATACCATTAATTGCATATGCAAATTTTGTGTTTGCACCAATCAATATACTGGTATAATATAATTACTAATGATACTACATTGTAGTTGAGCATTAAAGGTATGTATATTCAAAAAACAAATAAAATGGCTGCCACTTGGCTCTTGGGATATTATGTATACAATCCAGCTTTGTAATAATGTGCTAAAAGGCACTCACAATGCTCTGGAACTTCATGTCTTGTTGTGTATGTGTTTTTAGTTACTGTTATTTTATTTTACTTGTGAAGGGTCAGAAAATGTAGTTTGTAAGAAAATTGGCAATTGTTAACATGAGGAGGTATTTTATTCACAACTGCCCAATGAATGAGGGCCTAATTTGGCATAGTTGTACAGCATGCTACCGAGTTACTTCCAATTACAGGTGAAACTGTATTGAGAACCATAATGAGGCACTGGTTTCATCCACTATGAACTGGTACATATGACAACAATGGTTTTTTCAATATGTCTAAGTTTTTTGCAAAACTTGTTAAAACTCTTTTTCAACACTTTTAAAGTTGTCAATCTCTTCATTATTTAAAGACGTCATGCTATTTTCACAGTGTAAAATCAATATCGAAGGACTGTATTAGTTTTTTTGGCCTTCCCTGACATTGGCCCAGGGGAAAAGACATTGAAAACTACTAGTATATACTGCTATTATAGTCAAAACATAACAGGAGTATATTCTTGGCAATAATGAATAGGGAAAATGCAAAACAACATTCAAGAAATTTGTAGATGTGTCACCACTTTTCATTGTCGCCATTGAATATGACTACAGTCATTCCAGTAATGAAGTAGTTCTATACTTTTCTCAGGGAGAGCGAGTATTTGAAAGAACATTTACATGTAGGTATTGTTATCAGAGTGCATCATGGGAGCATAAATGTACACCAGCTGCAGACTGCAAGGTAAATGCCAGCCCTCGAAATATCATCAAGGTGAATTGTACTATTAATGAAACTATCTTGTGTCTAGGTAAGCAAATATTGTTGATATCAATCATGATAAGTGTTTTTAGAACTACTGTATTTGCTCTATTAGTAGTGCATGTTTAAATAAATGACATAATGAGTTTTGTCTATAGTCAGAAAAGACATATTTTAATAATTCAGCATGCAATAAATTCAATTTTAGCTTATGTGCACTTTTATTTTTGATGCGCTCTCAGGAAAGCATATATGGACTGTTAATTTTTTGTGTGGTTGCTGTAACACAGGTTTGACTGTTTTGGGAATGTCAGTTTACTTTAGAACATTTAACACATTCAGGCCTTAAAAAAATCCAATTTATAAATTGTAGGAAGAAGAACTTTTTATAAAACTACACCGTGCAATTGGACATCAGGTTATCGGTACACAACAGCAATAATTCTCAGGTATGTACTCAATAACATACATGCAGCCATATTTTTTAAAATTCTTCCATCCAAAATTAAATGTTATTATATAGTTTACATATTTAGTATTGATGGATATTTAAAGGTCATTCGAAGCTAATACTGTAGATACTGGTAATATCGCTTCTAGCAATAAAACACATTATCTTCGGTATTAACCTTTTCCACACCAGTTCCCTCGTTTCATCACAAATTCACAAAATATACGTTTATATTATTTATTTATATATTAATTCCTGTTTATGGTCTGCAGAAGATTAGACAAAAAACGAATTTTTTGAGTAAAAACATTTCCAGAAATATTGAAGAATATAAAAAAAGTGCAGATAAATTTTGGCGAGAAAGTCTGGTGGTGAAAAAGTTAACTTCAAATGCCCCCCATGTTATCATATGTGTAACTGCATCAGCATGTAAATCACAAGAAGGCAGAGGAGCTTAAAAAATATAAGGCCAAGCATGCCAAAAATGAGGAACTATCGTTTGTTTTGTTATATGTGATGGAAAAATACATGGAAAAATCTATGGGAGTTGTGATAACGTTTTTGCATGTGTTTGTGTATTGATATCTTGCTATGTTAATGTAGTACGGTGTTGAATTCATGGATTTTATGGATTGCCGAATGTTTCATCAATGATTTAACCTAAATGTCTCATAGTTATAATCTTAACACCAAGAGCTGAGAATACAGTGTGTGTACTCGTTATTGATGGTTATCATATGGCCATGGTGCGACTGAGGTGGGAAATATAGTGTTCGTTACATCATATCATTCTCAGTTGTGACGTTTAGTATGAAATACTGCTGCTGGAATGGCAATTGTCACGCTATGGATGGTAAACATGATCATTTTATGCGCATTTGAATAGTACAAATCATGTGACAATACCATGTTTAGCACTGTGATATAATATTAATAATTTCAGGCCGACAACAGTTAGTTATGTGATGCAATTACACCGACTTGTAACTGTGCTGACTGAAAGTTATATTTATATTCTGGCTATTACAAAAACATTACATTATTACAACTGTGAATGTGTTTCCACTAGTGTGCTTGGACGTCATGTTGAATATATAATATAGTCTATGAACATCACTATTTATCTGTCTTTTTGGCCGTCAACATGTGCGAAGATTGTATGATCAGGTCAATGATGGCCGACTGGTGGCCTTTTTTGTTTAAAATTCCCTGATATCACTATATGTATTAGGTATGTTTGCTTATCCACTTATCTATTCATGGATAATACAAGATCATGAGCTCAATCATATTCACCGGCTCTGTGATATCAGGTAGATGTTGATTGATATTAACATATATTGAAACATAAGCTGATAATGGCTTTAAAAATGTTTAGCAAATCATAGCCAAAAAGTTTTAACTTTTAAATCAGTATTTGAATTATGACCTTTTCATCCTTCTATGTTTTTATCATAACCTCTTACCATCTATTATAGTGTATCATTTCCCTCACCTAAGTTTGTTTTCTATTGATATTGTAATTCAATATATACATTTGCTGCCAGATATATGAAGAAAAGCAATGCCCATTTAGTGAATCATTAATTAACCTGCAAAATGTTAAAACATCATATCGCCTACAAATTATGCAGTCTGCAAGCCCTAGATAGTTTTTCTATGTTAATTAATCTCTGATTAATAGTTTCATTATGTAGTAAATTATATTATTAGTTTAGAATTGAAATATATGCATATTAATTACCTAATTTACATAAAATTAGCCAATTTTTCAAGATTAGATTTTAATGAATTTGGTGCATATGGTGTCTGGAGTAATCTACAGATTTGATTAGTTTTTGGTTGAAATTAAGGCATACCTAATTTGCCTATTAAGTCAGGTAACTTTATGATACCTAATGAACTACTCATTGGTTTTCCATTAAACTTGGTGCATACACATAGTTGCTCTTGGATAAACCATGGACTGCAAACCACAGATGTGCAATCAAATTTATTTCTTTTGTTTTACTATTTCTAGAGTTTTCTGTCAGTATTCAATACTGTGGATCAGTGTGCTTTTACATTATATATCTCAAAGTGTTATATTAGCTGACATGCTAGCTTGTTTCAAAGACCAAATTTTCAGTATTTCTACTTCACATTTCTCTAATACCCTTATAGCATTGGGAGTTTTATTCTAAACTTTTTTATCTTGATTTTCAGTATCACCTTGGGTGGATTTGGGGTTGATCGATTTTATCTTGGATATTGGAGGGAAGGTCTTGGTAAACTCTTCAGTTTTGGTGGCCTTGGCGTATGGACCATTGTGGATGCAATCTTAGTAGGCATTGGTTACATCACACCAGCAGATGGTTCTGTTTATATATTCTGATTGGTCATTCATGAATGAGTACAGGTGTATGTCACTATTTTAACCAATTGTTTGCATACTGAACTCTGATCTACACATGATGGTGAACTCTGACCCACACATAGAGAATGGTTGATGAGAAATGACATTGGATCAGTGAAGTAACATTGACTTTGTGAAAGTGGAGATGACATTGATTGTGATAACCAGTCAATCAATGGAAGTCCCATTGTATATATAGTGACTGAATTCGGCCGAGTTCTATTTATTAGAAACAATAACGCATTGTTATACATAGAATCAGCATCTAATCGGAAAGTACATGAAGAATTAGAATTGAGGTTGTCACTATGCTGAAATGTCAAACTCTATGCAACATAAAACTTAATGTGTGCAGCATACCTGCATGCAGATTCACAGTTAGGCAATAAAGCAACTTGGATTTCATAACACAGATGAATCATATTAAAATTGTGGATTTATGCGCAGTCTTGTCCATACATTATATGATAACTGACTAGCATGTTATACCGATTGACCAATGAAAACATGCGGATATTTCAAGAGATAATACATGAACAGAAGATGTAAATATTTTTGTTACTGCTTCTAAATTACTTTGTACTAAACAAGATCAAATCAGGGAAAACATGTACCGTAAAATCTGTATTAGAAGCCGTATCCCTAATAAAAGTCGCATCCATTCTTTTTGAATAATTGAGAACCAAAAATTCATCATTTCTCATACGTGTAGATGCTCCAATAGAAGCCGCATCCCCTCTGTTGCATTGTAACATTTTAATAGAAGCCGCAGTTTCTAATACAGATTTTACATTACTGGAACAGCTTCATCATTTGTGTAAACTTAATTCTTGCATTTCTTTATCTCACAGCACAGCACCACAAGGGACCAATTTAAACCAAATGTAACCCTGTGATCTTCCAAACTCGAAAAAATAAACTTCATTGGAAGGAAGTTATTTTTTGTGCATAACCTTATAATCAAAGATAATTCATGATCACATTATTCATATGTCATTTGTGACCATGATTTATCTAATTGGTACCACTATTATTGCAATCAAAAACTGTTGGTGGTCGTCTGAATAAACAGTTTCATTCTACATCATAATCATTTGCTTCATATTATATTTGTGCCTGAATTCTACTATATTCATGTACCAATAAGCACAACACTCTGATTATGCATTCATAAGTCATAAAAATTAACAATTGGCATCTTCTCTTGGAACTGTGGGATTTATTGTCAAGATATTGTACAACAAGCAAAGAAAGACACAGTTTAGTTTTTATAACAAAAATATTAATAAATCCAAAATAAAAGGCAAAGCAAGATTTCCAGTCATTGATTTTCATGAAAACAGAAAAAACAACTTCTTAGCATCATACGGAACACTCATATGAGAGCATACATTGTTTTCATTGTGCTTGTAAATATTTAAAAGGTGTAACTGTGTATTTTTATTCTTGTAAATAAAATAAAAACCTGTGTATATGGATAATAAAAAACTGTGTATATGGATAATAAAAACCTGTGTATATGGATAATAAAAACCTGTGTATATGGATAATAAAAACCTGTGTGTATGGATAATAAAAACCTGTGTGTATGGATAATAGATTTCATTTGAGTAACATGCCTCAAGTTTATACACTAACTACATGTGGATATGTATGTAAATGACCTGTGTATGTTCATAAAAAAGACTGATGGCAGTGTTACAGATTTATATCTGGGTAATTAACTAGTATTAGTAGATGTGGGGTGTTTGATTTATTCAGTAAATTAATAATGTACAAAAAGGATTCTCTGCAGTTGTGTGTCTATGTATGAGACATGAAGGTTGTTGTTAGCAGAACTTTAGTATACAGCTATTAGTAATGCTTATTTCAAGTCATTATTAACATATTCAAAACTATTTTGCTTTACTGCTGCTGCACCCGAGCACTGCCATTGCTACACTAACATTTCATTGTATTCCATTGCATGGTGGTGACCAGCCTCATCATCTCCAGCCATATATGGAAGTATAAATTCACTGTATCTCCTGGACTGCAAATCTGAAACACTCTGAAAATCATCAGAGTCAAAGCCAAATTCTATATGATGTTGCTGTGGATTTGCCTGAAAAATATAAAATCGATGCCAATAATGTATATCAGGAATAATATCGTTTAACACAGAACATAGATGTTCATCGAAATTGAACCCTTCTGTGTGTGATCCCCCATTTTATAAGTCTCTTTTTGGATGTGACTAATGAACATGACATGATCAGCGTATGAAAAAAACTTGATTTCTCAATTACAAGGCTTTATATGCAACTCCTTATTAGTTATTGTTATGATACAACTAAATCTGATTCATACAAAACATTTAGGAAGAGAGTGGGTGAAAAAGTCATCTATTAAAGTCAAAGCAGTCCTCGTACAGCTCTTCCAAAAATGAATGCATCCCAATCCAAATTTACAAGAGTTTATGAAAGTCAAAAACAGAAAGTTGTGATTTTGCAGTTGTCTTAGGTCTTATAACTTGTTTCTTGTGGTTAGAAAAATTTGAATGGAAGCTGTAAACTAATTTTACACCTCGGTGATGTCAATGAATGTCTGGAAAGGGAGTTTCCTTATTAGCTTGTCAACTGCTGTACAAGCTGGTAACTGCAAAATTTCTCAAGGGGATTGGTTGGGGATGTTACTATCAATCTATTTTGCTATTATCAATTGCCGTCAAGGGAAGATCTACTACTTCACAGCTCTACCTTTCACATAACCAGCTAATCCAAGAGTATGGAAGAGGCCGATATGGTTACTGGCTGCTCAGTGTCACTCCCAAGTCATCTCTACACCTGTACATAAATTATATTCAACATATGCTTCAGACCATATTTCCTGTACTTTGAAGCTCACCCCTCCCCGGGTTTGTTAATAGGGTGTATATTTCATCAATTTCCAATTTAGGAAAGTATATCATTTTGGGAATGGACTTCAAAGATTTTGACTTCAAGGCAATGACCTTGAAGCAAAAGAGCAGGTTAGGTGACAATTACACTGTACCTAATTGCATTCAATGGGAATATTATACCCTGGGGAAAGCTTTGCTGTAGGCTGATACATTTCAAAGATGCTTCACTTACAAATCAGCCATGCAAAGTGTATATAGCAATTACACCACAGGAAGACTTATTTACGACCCAACACAACAAGGAAGTCCTGATGTGTCTCAGCTTCAGAATCCAGTTGCTTGTGAGATGTTCATGAAACCATGTGTATGCCTAATGCATTATCTTCATTAGCCCTGTTAATGTGCATGGTAATTGCCAAATATCGTGAAAGAGAAGTAGCATGTGATATTGAGGATACGTGACTTGCAACTTATTAGCAGGCCCACCAATGCAGTGCATGTAAATCTCTCTCACTCAGAAATCTCTTCACACAATCAGAAGTGTATTTATTATTTTTATACCAGAATAAAAACGTTTTTGCATGGATGCGGTGTGCTGGACAGATATGATGCAAAATGGGAAAAGGTGTTGCTGTTGGTTCAGGCAGGCATAGATTAATCTTCTCCTAGTTAATATTCAGCAGTTAGCCAAGTTTCTGGATTGCCATGCCTCACCATTTCCCCAATGTTGAGGTCTTGCTTCTTTCTAAGGCCCATCACTGTGAAGTTAATCGATCAAATCATAATGAAGGTCATGTTTTGAGACTCTGCTCCTTTGTCTGTAATGACCTGATCCTGTTAAACCAACTGAACCAAGACCCTTCATATCGTGGTCTGTGTCTGGTAAGAACATAGAACAGGATAAACTACAATGTTTCCATGTATTGTGTGCACATTTCAAAGCCAGTCAACCTACTAAGTGATCCCAAATCTCGATCTAAGTCTAGATTAGACTGATTTCAAAGCCTTCAATATACCACTGATACACAAGTAATTGAATATCTTAATGAACTATGGTTATATTGTATTTAGTGATATGTTTGATGAAAACAAAGACATGTCTGGCTGGGCTGTTACTGGACTCTTCCCCCCCCCCCTCTCTACAGAATAACCACATGCATGACAACTGAGGTTTTGCCGTGATTTCAAATTATCCATGATGTATGTTATACACATGTGCTTATAGCATTGTGAGATCAACTCGCATCACCAATGCTTTTGCACAGTAAGGATCAAATTAATTGATATCAAGTGATCATAATCAGAATGGCAGAGTTGTTTCACACCACGATAGTGCAAATAACATTACAAGATCTAGGACTTACAAACCAGCAGTACAAATAACAGAACTAAATCCAATATTTCTGTTCCACACCAGTGTAGATCCCATATAAATTGGATGTCTTGTTATTACTAGTAAAAGGTTTCCAAGAGGTTATCATTACTACCTTATTCAGCGCTTTTTTTGTTGAGAGATGTAAAACTGTACTACTTTGCAAGATATCTTATATGGTTACCCAGAATATGGAGTTGTTTTACTTGCATAATAAAATGGTCCTGGTGCATTCTGCATATTCCTTTCTATATAAGCAATTCTTTGTTCTTCATCAAAATCAGATATAAATGTGTCTGCATCTGTGTCATTGTAGTCACTGTTCATCCAGTCATCCCAGTTGAAAGTGTCCCGTCTACCATCTGGTTTCCTCCTGACTCTAATTTGTGCTTTCTTATAGCGTCGATTTCTTATTATGCACACAGCCCAAAGCACTCCAGCCACACAGATTATGCCTGTGGTAACACCAATTGGGATTTGCCAGATTAGTCCATTGGATGGTTGAGCCGCCTCTGTAAATGTTGTAAAAGATCGTTTGTGTTATAATGAAGTACTGTAGATGTTTAATTTCATTTCGTGGGTATTAGTTTGCTTTATTCTTTAAATTAAGTTTTGGTATTGATCATATTTTGGGGGACAGACCATGTGTGACTATACAAGTTCTTGTCATACGTTGTTGTATTTTAGTTATGCACATTGTTTACTTTTAAATAGTATTTACATAGCCATAATTGGTTGATATTTCTATTAATTCTAAGATTGAAACATGTGTCATACTTACTGATAACTTTCTTCTTATTACACACTCTTCCAGATCGGGAAATGTCCGGTGAGTTGTCCATGTAGTTCGAATTGCATTGACAGTCGAATGTATCATTCACAACGCGACAGGTAGCATCTTTGTCACAATCATTTCCATTTGGACGAATACATGCATTATCATCAAATTCTAAATAGGAATACATATGAATTTTTCATTGGAGAAGAAAAGCAATCTTAACATTAAAGATATTACATCGCAACCTTTTGCACAACCCAATAATTTGCACACACACATGTGTATCTCAAGAAACATAAAAGAACGTTATCTCAATACTGAATACTATATGTTCATATCATTTATAATATAATTATTCTTTGTCACCAATACACATTCAGCTTGATTTCACTTTAATAATACACTACACACCTTTTACCTTAATGGAATCTTCTAATATCCTTAGAGTTCCAATATAACCGTCTATCACAGCATTCTCAAAGCTGGTCTTTACGTGTGGAACACCAATGGTACTATTTGGTTCAAAGAAGATGACTGAATTTACACCCACATTGCTCTCAAAGAATCGAATTATCTCTAAGCCTAAGAATGAAGATTCAAATTCATCCCTCAACAGCTCACTCAGCTAAATAAAACAGAAAAATCAATGTCAAACAAACATTTGTACTTGCTGGGTTAATGCATGCAAATAGTGTTCTCTTTCAAGGAGTGTGCTGTATATTGTAAACTCATATACTGTGTTAAGTTTCATGACATACGTCAAACGCTTAAAATGACAATTACTTAATTGAGAAGATTGGTTCATTATTCAACTGTATGAAAATACCTGAATCTGGGAAAAACAGCAATGGTTAAACCTCTAAAAACTCTGCAAATGTACCACAGTAAGGAAGTACAATAATCAATTTAAATGCTACTGGGCAATGAACTTGAACATTATATTAGAAAAGAACCAAAAATTATATTAGAATGCGATCTGAATAGAGCTGAAGCTGCTGCAATAAATAGTGAAATCCAGCAGACCACATACTGATGACATTGGCTGTACAAGATAAATACAAAATAAATGAAAGCATACTCAAATGATATTCAAATCCATATCCATTGAACAAAAACTGACTGGCAAATAATAAACAAGCACTCCACATCCCACCCACAAAAATGAATCATTATACATAATACCTGTGTTTTAACAGTTTCTTTAAGTTCGTTATACTTTTCTGACTTTGGATCTTGCAGGTCAGGTGTAAACACCAGATCCGAATCTTCTATTCCTAACATTACAATTGAAACTTCAACATTGACTGTTTCTGTAAAAAAAAAATAGTTGTGAC